ATCTAAGTTAACTACAACTAAGACTAAAATCTGGAAGCAACAAAAACATCAAATTTTATGACTAGTTTGAGTGAAGTAGAAAAACTTATTTTAAGTAACAAAATATTTAGTTCCTAATTAGAGAAATTTCTTAGAAAAAAATTAATTTTCTTCTCCCAGGTATTTTCTCATCCAGAGAGATAGAACTTTCCAGGAATTGAATATTCATAACTAGGAAAAAAGAGAACTGAAGTTCTCAAAGATTTCAAAAATTTCCAAAAGAGAAAGTGAATTTAAGATCAACATGCTTTTAATCATATCTTAAAGTATAATTATTGTATAACCACATTAAAATGGTATCATTTTATATAACCAAGCATCAAATGCATGAATCATTAATAATCAGAGGAAAAATATTACCTTTCACTTTAAGTACCTTATAGAGATGTTTGAATTTGGTTCTTTTAGTCAGATTTTTTTCTACTTTTCATACTTAGCTGAATTTCCATGGACAGGCAAAAGGCAAAGAATTCTGATGAAGGCCTATCTTTATTTGGCTGCCTTAGTCCCAGATAGTGTCAGAGCCAGGGAAGTATTCAATTGTGGAATGTATAGAGAGCAGTTTTGAGGGCTGGGAGGACATTAAAACTTGTCTTACAAAAAAATACTAATGGTCATTTGGACTGAGGAACTTTAATCTACATGAAAAAAAGAAAAGCATCATAAAGGTAACTACATAAACAGATATACAAAAGGGCAGTATAAATGTATCTTTGTTTATAACTTTTTGATTTAAAAGATGACTGCATAAAACAATAATTATAAATATATGTTCATGGGTATATAATTTGTAAGGATGTAATTTGTATGACAATACAGCTCAAAGAAAGGGAGGAAGGAATAAAGCTATAGAGAAACCAAATTCTATATATTTCTGAAATTAAGTTGGTATTAATTTGAACTAGATTGGTAAAAGTTAAGATATTAATTTTAATAACCAGGGAAACCATCAAGAAAATAACAAAGTTGGGCGTAGTGGCTCATGCTCGTAATCCCAGCACCTTGGGAGGCCAAGGTGGGAGTATTGCTTGAGCCTAGGGGTTCAAGACCAGCCTGAGCAACATAGTGAGACTCTGTCTCTACAAAAAAAAAATTAAAAAATTAGCCAGGCATAGTGGTGCATGCCTGTAGTCCCAGCTACCCAGGAGGCTGAAGTGGGAGGATTGCTTGAGCCCAGGAGTTTGAGGTTGCAGTGAACTATGATTGTGCCACTGCAATGGGCCAGCCTGGGCAACACAGCAAGACCTTGCCAAAAAAACAAAAAGACAGAAAGAAAGAATGAACTAAAAAAATTAAAATAAATAGTAAGGCAATTAAAATGGTACCCAAGAAAATATTTCTTTAACATGAAAGAAGACAATAATGGAAGAATAAAATAAAAAGACATAAAACATGTGGAAAACAAAGCAAAATAGCAGATATAAATCTACTTTATCAGTAATTATATTAGATGTGAATGGATTACACACTCCAGTTGAAAAACAGAAATTGAAAGAATGGATTTTTACAAATGATCCAACCACAAGAGACATGTTTTAGATTCAAAGACACAAAGAGGTTGAAACTGAAAGGATGAAAAAAGGTATACCATGTAAACAGTAACCAAAAGAGAGCTGAAATGGCTACATTAATATCAGGCAAAATGTACAATAAAACAAACAAAAAGATACTAAAAATAAAAAATGAAGTAGAGGAATTTTACAATTATAAAAGGGCCAATCCATTTGGAAGATAGAACAATTTTAAACATATAATGCACCAAACAATACAGCCACAAAATAAATGAAATCAAAACTTACAAAAATGAAAAAATAAATTCAATGATAATAACTGAAGATTTTAATATCACTACTTTCAATAATAGAACAACAAAATAGAGTATCAACAAGAAAAAAGAAGACTTGAATAACATCATAAACTAACTGTACCTAAGAGAGAGCATTCCACTCAATATTAGCAGGATACAAATTCTTCTCAAAAGCATATGGATCATTCTCCAGGCAAGACTATATTTTTGGCCATAAAGCAAGTCTCAATAAATTTAAAAGGGTTAAAATCATGCAAAGTATACTTTCCAACTAAAATGGAATGAAATTAGAAAGCAGTAGCAGGAGAAAATTTGGGAAATTTGCAAATAGGTGGAAACTAAACAACATATTTCTAAATAACCAATGAGACAAAGAAGAAATCACAAGAGACTTTATAAAATACTCTGAAATTAATGACAATGAAAATACAACATACCAAAATTTATGAGATGCAATAAAAGCTGTGCTTACAGGGAAAATTACAGCTGAAAATACCTATATTTTTAAAAATAAAGATCTCGAATCAATAATGCAAACTTTCACCATAAGAAACAACAACAAAAAAAGGAGAGCATACTACACCCAAAGCAAATAGAAAGAAGGAAATTATTAGATTAGAGTGAAAATTAATGAAATAGAGAGTAGAAAAACACAATAGAGAAAACCAACTAAACCAAAGTTCGGTCCTTTGAAAAGATCAACGCAACTGGCAAACTGTTACCTAAACTCACCAAGAAAAAAAGAGAGAGAGCTGAAATTACTAAAATCAGGAATAACAGAGGAGGAACTTATGACCTACAGGCAAAAAAGGTCATAGGTTTAAGCCAACAAATTAGAAAGCTTAGATGAAATGGAAAAATTTCTACAAACACACAAACTGTCAAAACTGATTAAGGAAGAAATATAAAATCTGAATAGACCAGTAACAAGTATAGAAATTGAATCAGTATTCAAAAACTTTACACAAAGAAAAGCCCAGGACCAGATGGCTTCGCTGGTGAATTCTACCAAACATTTAAAGAATTAACACCAATGCTTGATAAACAAAATAAAGGAGAAGGAACCACTTTTCAACTTGTTCTATGAGGACAGTATTACCATGATGACAAAACCAGACAAAGATAAAACAAGGAAAGAAATATATTTACCAATTTCCCATGTGAATATAGATGGAGAAATCCTTAACATATTAGCAAACTGGCTCCAGCAACATATAAAATGGATTATACACCATGGCCAAATGGGATTTATCCCAGGATTGTAGGGTTGGGTCAACATATGAAAATCAATCAACACATTCCATTTTTGTCTAAAATAATATTCATGCTTTTTATTCTTTTCAGTATACATTTTTTATTATTTTTCCATTTCATTTAATGTTGATGCATATTGTATCTCCTCTGATTTACTTTAAACGTGAAAGAAAATTCTAAGATATTAATATTATTGTTACTGCCATTGATATATCCCTTACAGGAATTAACAGAAATAGAATCAAAGTAAATGTAATTAAATAGTATTTAAGATGTATTACATTCTCATTTCTCAGAATTCTGAATTCAGTTTCAGACATGTTCATGATTGAATGTGTGATCTGACAATAATCTGCCTACATAGATAAAAACATCATTTGAGTGAATTAATTTATTGATTCAACTGGTATTTATGGAATGACTGCTATAATCCATGCTTCTTTCAAAAATAATTTTTATTAATACTTTCACTATTGGAATCTTATTGTCATCCTTTAAAAACAATTCATTAAACATGAATTATAAATTATAAATAATTAAATGAATCAGAGAATTAAGTGAAATAACATGATATTTAAGGGAAGGAAATCTTATGTGTGGCAAGATAAGTGGTACTCCATTCAATGTATTAATTGTAACCAATAAGCTGGTTAACTGTGTCCCAGTGATGCCAGTCCTTTCTTACTGTATCAGGGTAATCCCAACAACCGCACACTGTGCTGGAAACCATTTTATACAAGTCTCTCCCTTTCACCATATATAAATAGACATGGCCTAAGGCACCCTTTGCTCACAGATTAAAATGTTTTAAATCACTGATTCTTGTCTTCCCCCAAATCAGCTGGTAAAATAATATGATACCTGGGATACAAAGGGTTAGGATGGTAACGGGCAAACTCATTATAAAATATACATTACGTCTATCTATTACATAAATACAGTTTAAAGCCTTTATCTTAACAAAATTCTAAGATTTTTACTCACTTGATTTTGTCTTGATATTATCCTGGTAATAGCCAAGTAGAATAATGAAGTCCTATCACCCTCTGAGCTTCAGTTTCCTTATCTGTAAAACCCCCTTTCACTTGGTCTTCAGTTCTGCAAATCTCTGATTCTGATACTATTTGCCTTATTTCTAGATTTAGTGTGAGTGCACACTGTAAACGACAGTACAAAACAGGGCACCTTTTTATTAAACTATATTACTATTTGCTCACCAGTGTAGGAAAATAGAACCAACCTATCATTTGAAAAATACTCCTTCTTTAAACCATGTAGTACAGAACGTCTTAAACTTTTGCGTCATCATAAAGTTCTTGTATTCTAGGAAATAAACAGATATAACTATTAGGAATTTAATTGAAATTTTATAAGAACTTATCTGCCCTGGTTAGATTATGCAAAGGGAAAAGGAGTCCTCCCCACGGATAAGAGTGTGGGGAGATGGAGATACCTTCTTGCTTTGTACTCAGGATTATTCTGGTTTATGCACCGTAATGCAATAAACTTATAAATTAGACAATTTAATATAATAACACAATTTGTAAAAATTCTATACACCTAAAAATGGCTTTCATTTGGAAACTTACAAAATGCGCTTTGACTCGAAAACATTAATTTCTCGATCTAGACACAGGGTGGCGCTGCAAGATAAGATTGTGAATAAAGAACCCTATAAAGCTCGCGTATTCTTTTGTGTTGTGAGACGCAATGACAAACACACCCAAGAAGATTTGCAAGCAGTACGGAGTTACCAACGGGTTTGGGCAGCTATGTACTAACCGAATTTAAGGTTAAAAGCGACTTTGTGACGATTCTTCCAAGCAAGAAATTGGAATTGAATGTCTCAAGCCTTTTTGTGGTTGCTGAAGGGACTGGATGTAAAGACCCAGACTCCAACATGGAGAAGCTAGAGAGAATTCATCCAAACAGGCAAGTGTTGGCCTTTATTTTGATGGTGTTCTTTTCTCAAGTTCGCTCCGAGCCTATTCGTTATTCTGTGCCTGAGGAAACAGAGAGTGGCTCCTTTGTAGCCCATCTGACCAAGGATCTGGGCCTGAAAACCGGGGAACTGGCCGCCCGGTCTGCCCGGGTGGTGTCTGACGATGACAAGCAGCCTTTGCAGCTGGATCGTCAGACAGGAGATTTGCTTCTGAAGGAGAAACTAGACCGGGAGGAGCTATGTGGCCCTACAGAGCCATGTGTACTGCATTTCCAAGTGCTCCTGGAAATGCCAGTGCAGTTTTTTCAAGGAGAATTATCAATCCAGGACATAAATGACCACTCTCCAGTATTCCCTGATAAGGAAGTGCTCTTGAAAATACCAGAAAACAGCCAGCCAGGGACTCTGTTTCCGTTGATATTAGCTCAGGATATGGATGTGGGTAGCAATGGTCTTCAACAATACACAATCAGCCCCAATTCTCATTTTCATATTCTCACTCGAAATCATAGTGAGGGCAAGAAATACCCGGATTTGGTGCAGGACAAAGCGCTGGACCGAGAGGAGCAGCCTGAGTTTAGCTTAACCCTCATGGCGCTGGATGGTGGATCACCACCTAGGTCTGGGACGGTCATGGTTCGAATCTTGATCATGGATGTCAATGACAATGCTCCTGAGTTCGTGCACACCCCATATGAGGTGCAGGTCCTGGAAAACAGCCCCCTAGACTCCCCACTTCTTAGTGTCACAGCTAGGGATGTGGATGCTGGAAACTTCGGGAGTGTTTCCTATGGCTTGTTCCAAGCACCAGATGAAATTAAACAAACTTTCTCAATAAATGAAGTAACAGGAGAAATCCGACTAAAAAAGAAATTGGATTTCGAAAAAATTAAATCTTACCATGTGGAAATTGAGGCCACAGATGGAGGAGGCCTCTCCGGGAAAGGCACAGTAGTCATAGAGGTGGTGGATGTGAACGATAACGCCCCTGAACTTAGCATATCTTCGCTCACCAGCTCCATCCCGGAAAATGCTCCTGAGACTGTAGTCTCTATCTTCCGAATTCGAGATAAAGATTCGGGAGACAATGGAAAGATGATTTGCTCTATTCCAGATAATTTGCCATTCATTCTAAAGCCAATTTTCAAGAATTTTTATACCCTGGTAACAGAGAGACCGTTGGATAGAGAGAGCCGAGCTGAATACAACATCACCATCACCATCACTGACTTGGGGACACCCAGGCTGAAAACAGAGCACA